ACACACACACACACACACACACACACACACACACACACACACACACAGGAACCTTCAGGAACCCTATTAACTGAGGGAATCAAGCTGTAGTCCTGCAGTCTTGTGGACATTTTGGGGGACGGAAAAGTCCCCACATGACAAATAATGAAAACCTAAGAAAAATCATTTCTGCGTCAAAGTGCTGCCTGTTTGTTTCGGGATTTGATTTCCACTTTCACACTACCTCATTGTTTATAATACTAGTCTGCACTGCGGTTAGCAGTTGAACCCGTGACCTCGTGGCATCCCTCTGAGCAGCCCTGCTGTGCGATGACCCCATAAGAAGCCACACAGACGTCAGCCCACATTATCAGCCAGTCTGCTTTTGAATTATTGACAAGCAGACAGAGCCATGAGTTCATACGATCCGCCGTCCTCTGCGTCACCGGCCTACTACTGAATTCCACCTGCTCGCTTAACAGGAACCCGACAAGAGATACAACAGCAGGATGACCAGCCGCCAACTCTTCCAGACTAGTGAACCTATGTGCCAATTAGAAAATGCAGCAGGTGGAAAATAAGCAGCAGGAGATAAGTGATAGCTGTAATAAGGATTAAGTGTGCGAGGGTATATAGTGAACACCAGTAACCCTTTAATCCACTATGTGAAGGCAGGAAGTCAGACAGAGAAGCACTTCCTGTCCAGGAACCCAGATTCATTCAGCAGAGAGGAATGCTGCCCGGCAGCTCCTGACTCCACCGACGTTATCTCTCTAGTGTGTTTCACTCACAGCTGCAAACTATACTGCAACGTTAATTATGCATTATTAAAGAATGCATTGAGATTAGGACACCATTACTTTCCAACCATCTAGAGTTCATCCTCTTTTACATTTACAAACGAAATAGTAACACCTCATTTCTGGGTTAGGGTTAGTACTGGTTTCAGAAGAGCCGGTATGTGTGTCAATGTGATGAGTCTGTTTCCTCTTTCTCCAGTAAATAGGACGCTAATGTAGCTACTCTCTATACTTTCAACAGAAAAACAAGAAAATGGGAGGATGAGAAAGCAGAAGAGACATTAAAATACAGCAAAGCCGACAGAACATGAACAAGAGGAAAATGGTTATATGGTGAGAAAAGCAAGAACAAGACCACAGAGTCTGTAATTCAGCACAGTAAATTGTACTTTTAAAACTTTCCCGAGCAGAGAAGAAGAAGGGCAGCGAGCCGGCGGAGTGAGTGAGTACGGTACGAGTGCACCAGGTCTCGGTGCTCCAACTTGTCACTGTGATTAGCTTTTGTTCTCGTTCAGCCCCGACAGCAGCGACAGCCATTACGACTCTCTACACTCTCAGAGAGATAGCTGCGGGCTTATGTAACAATCCTCAGAGACACACAGTAACCCAGCGACAGACCGACTGGTATCCAGTGGTTCAACTCGGCTGACCTTAAGAGTTACGTGTTTATTTCACCCATGTTCTGTAAACAACGCTGCCATTGATGTACGAAAACAATGCGTGATTACAGTACAGGTGTGAATCCAAGTGGTTTTATCTCTTCGTCTGTTGACTGATAAAAGATTAAATCTGTGTGTGAAGCCGCTTTAATCAGCTGCACCAGACTTAACTCTACTCACATGCAATTCTTCCTTTATTTCCCGTAAATATATATTCACATGAGCGTGCTTTATTGCACAGCAAATGGATCCATTATGGCTTTAAATAAATCTGTAATTAGCTTCACTTACAGACGCGGTCAGAGCGAGAACCTTCCATCATCCCACTCTCTCCCAGTATTGACTGATATTTCATAAAGTACTAGTATTGACAACCAGATAAATGTTCCTTAGCCTCATCTTAAGCATTCAGCAGTCTTTGCATCTGGGTTTTTTTTTGTTCTTGCAGCGGCTGTGCAATCAATTTAACCCAAAACCCATTTGTCTAAAGCAGTTATCCAGATCAATTACAGCAGCAGAGCTCATCAGCATCCCACATCCTCCCAGTCACAGGCGTGTTTCTGACGATAAAGGCTCCATTCGGCCCTCCACGCAGCAGGGGATTTCATCTAATCAGCCATTTGCAACAGTTGGGCGGCTGTGTCTAAGCCTCGGCTGAGCGTGGAGCCGGGGTATAAACCTGGTGTGAGCGGGGGGGTCTGCTCCGTCTGGATGGTTGTCAAACACATTACTGCGGAGCCGAATGCAACTCGCAGCCGTGCGGGCCCGGCTGCTCCTCTGCTGCGCATCGATTCCACCAGCAGGGAGGAAACAACTGGATTACATAATTCATGGGACTGACCCGTTGCATTAGCGGTCTAGTTCAACCGGGAGAAGGAGCGCAATAGAGAAGAGGGAATAGCACAACAACAGTCCAACAAATCTACAGCACCTGGCACAAACGCACAATATTTGTGAAGTCAAAGAAATATTTTGGAAGTATAAAACAGATCTGCAAATCCAAAAATACAAAAAATTAAAAAAATAAATCTGTGAATAAATTATAATGTATTCGAAAGTTGTAAACATTTGGGTTATTTGTAAATAAGTTCAATGTGTTAACAGATATTTGTGGAGTTTGTTTGTGTATTTGCTAAATATTTGTGGAAGGTATTTGTGTGTACAGATTACACATTCATACACAGGTTGTCGATCTGTTCACACAAATATTTTTGAGAGAAATTTACCCCAATATAATCTTCTTTTCCGTCACTTGTCAAGGCGTTAATGATAATTGCTGCATCTCTTTGCATGTTCTGTCATGTTCTGTCAACCTGATACCAACCGGTGTCAAGACTCCACCTTTCACTCCTTTAATTCTGAATGTTTGAACAGGATGTGCTACAATATTTGAGTTCATATCTGCAGATATACAAATTCATAATTGGGAATATTTATGTGTGCCAAATCTCATTCGAAAATCTGACGTTTTAACAGATCTCAAAACTGGACCAAATAGCACTTCTAAGAATATAATTGTACTTTGTACTTTTAACGTGTTTACAACACACCAAGGTGTATGTTCAGACTGAAGATGGACGAATGGAAAATAGGTCATCCACTATAAAATTAAAAAACAACTATGATTCACAGCCGGTGGTGTTTTTCTAGCGTCAGACAGTTTCCCAACGAGATTACTTCCACTCCCTTCCCGCGAGTGAAACTTAATCCGGATGAGTAGCTGCTTCGGAGGAATTTGAAACCAATAGAGATAAAGAAAAACACGTTTTCTGTTTATCTTCTGAGATTGTAAATATGTTTGTTCTGCAGAGAAGCGTAATAAAAACTCACATATCTGCTGATGAGGGTCCGCAGAGTGCTGAAATCCATCCCCATCCTCTTCCTCTTCCCTCTCCGGACACTTCTTCTTTCCGAGGCGTTTTCTTTCTCCCAAAGGTGACTTTACTGTAGTTGTCGCTAACTTCTTTTTAATTCTCCTCCTTTGTCCATGACTTTTACTCCCTTCTCTTCTTCCTGAATTTAAAAAAAAGGGCTCGGTCCTGCAAACACTTGTAAAGCTGGACTCACCTAAGAGGTTTTAATAGAACCAGGACGAGAAGCGGTCCGTGTTTTGCCCGGACTAGTGGGCTCCTCCTAGGTCACTGGGAGGAAACCAGCAGCTAGTCTCTTCCTCTCAGCCTCTGCGCGTGTACTAATAATCTTATTCTCTCGCGCCGCGGCCAAAGGAGCTTTTCTACGTCACGAGGAGCCAGGTAGTGGCGCTGACTCTAGGTGAGCGCATGCGCACTCTAGTGGTTTATATTTATTATTTTTGGTGCGTAATTGATTGGACGTTTCAGTTAATTGATTTGTTTGCTTGTGGCTGGTGCACCAAAGACAAAATTAATTAGTAACTTTAATTAAACGGAGCAAAATGCAATGAGTGGACAGTGCATGACATTTACATAATGTGTGTGTGTGTGTGTGTGTGTGTGTGTTGGGGTGTTGTCCAGATTTGGACACCCCAATGGTGCTGTCCACCCAGACGGTGCTGAAATCATAAAAAAAATTTAAAAAAATTCTCATGCAATCTGTCTTTTTTCCACATTAATATGTTCCTACTAAAACATTTAAACTGTCATTTTGTGGCTAATTTTATTTAAAAAAAAGATTAAAGAGACAAAATATTCAATAATCTGACATATGAAGTGAAATTCTTCAGTAGGCTACAGCAAAATAGCACGGTTTAAATAATTTTCTTTATACTAAGATATATTTTATGAATTGTTGCAGCAAAAAATGAAGATAAATAATGAATGCATTATTAAGCTAACATGAGTTTGTAAATGTTGATTGTTTCAGCGAGGTCAGAAGGGTCAGAACTATAAATCATGGTGCTTTGTTTCCGGGGGGGAATGTTTTTATTCATTTGTCCATCCTCTGTTTCCCGGAGACGCTTTTCGGCGGGTTCTGCTGAAACACCAGCGTCAAAGTTACTACAACAACAACTACCATATCCGGTTTGAACCTTCGAAATAAAATATCAGATAAACTTTTGTCACATACAGTACAGAGGAGTAGTAGTATCAGTTCTTTGTTTTTTGAAATATTTAATTTATCTTGAAGTAATTAACCTTGAATTATGTTAAATTGACGTGATGTGATTGTTGTAATATATATTTATATACAGTATATAAAAAACGTATTTGATATTTCTGACACAAATCAGTTTAGATAGCACTTTCTATGCTCTTACTTTGAAGGACACGTGTCCCTCCCTGTGGTCATATTCTTCCTGCGTCGTGCTGGCTTCATTCAACTTGTCAAAATGGCGTTGTTCTGTGGTGGGAGAGACCTGAGTTAGTTTATCTTATTCACTGCCATTTATTCAGTTATTTGGGCAACATTAGCCACGACAACATGGCGACCTTGGATCAGAAATCCCCCAATGTGCTTCTCCAGAGCCTCTGCTGCAGAATCACGGGCAAAAGCGAAGGTAGATCAGTTTACGTTAGCATGCTCCGCGCGAGTCCAGGAAGTGTCATTCCAAATGTCATTCAAAAAAACCGCACTTTTATCGTTGCTCCTTCCAGTACTAATAGTCCACATATTACACATAATGTAAAGTCAGTAGAAGAGTCGTTATCGTCTACTGGAAAATTCGGCTTATCATTTACACTCTAAGAAGTTCAGATTTTGATAACAATCCAAACTGTTTACACTGCTTTGCGCACAGACGAACCTTCTGTGTTTTTGTGACGTAAAGTAGTAGAAAACGATGGGAAATATTGCTGAAATTAAATCTGCGTGCTCTTTTGCACATATGCCGAATTCAAGAGATAATAAATGTGCAATGAAGCAAGCACAGACTATAATATTAGTCTGATTGAGAATAGAGATGCATCCAGTTTGGTATCTTATTGGATGCACTTGCTAGCTGCAGGCCTCTGATGGATGCAGGCATCTCAGGGCTGCATGGTGGATCAGAGATAGAAACATGTCAATATAATCCTTGTTTTGTTTTGTTTTTCAGTCAATGCAACACGATTGCATCTAAGCCCATTCACACCAGTGTCCTAGTATCTAATTAAAGTGTTTTTGGAGGCACAGCTGTCTGTCATGTCTACTTTACGTCAGAGTGCTGCTTGTTGTGTATTCCTCCAGCTGAAGTGGCCCACCAGTTCCAGTACGCCGTGCGTGTCATTGGCAGTAACTACGCCCCCACTATTGAGCGGGACGAGTTCCTGGTGTCGGAGAAGATCAAGAAAGAATGTAAGAGCCCCAATGAGCACACACTCGTACTATGTATTTCATGAACACTGTGACAGAGATGAGGAACTCATATTTAATCTGTGTGGCATTCGGCCAAATCGGCCCATCGCTGTTGCTGTCCGGTGGTTTTGTAAATGAGCTCCCGCTTTGCCTTTTATGTTGATATTAAAAGTCAAAACTCTTTATTGCACCATAAAGGCAAATCCCAGTGGACCTCCATAGCAGCCAAGATGGCACCATTAGTGGGAAAACATTGATCTGAGCTTTGACAAAGAAAATAAAACAAATAGTGCAGCACTTACTGAGCAGACTGTTTATTCATCCCAGGTCTGCAGGGGGACTTAAGGGAACTTTGTTGAAGTATTTTTTAGGGTTGTGGAGTTGCCGTGAAAATGTGACATCTGTGAATTCAAGACATCAAAATGATAAAAAGGTCTTTTTCCATCCATAGTGTAATGATCCTCGCCGTCTTACTCCGCAGTTTAAGTTTAGCCCTGTTGAAATCCCAAATCGGCTTTTTTTGTGGGGGAGGTTTCGCTCATTATTTCGTCTTGTTGCAGTGCTGAAGCAGAGGAGAGAAGCCGACGCTGCACTGTTCTCAGAGCTGCATCGAAAACTTCAGACGCAGGTTGGTATCTGTGTTTCCCTCTGAACCGTAACGGGACAATTGCCAACATGCAGCATATTTACTTCACTCTGATTAAGGCTTTCACATTAATTAGATATTCATTTAGGATATTTTACTGATATTTACCCAACGGATTGTGATGTTGTCTAGCTGACAGTGTGTCTCCTGTTTGACAGAGTGTTCTGAAGCATCGCTGGTCAGTTCTCTACCTGCTGCTCAGCCTCTCTGAAGACCCCCGCAAACCGTCCGGCAGGGTGAGACACACACACTTGATGATAACAATAAACGTATAATAATAATAACAATAAAGCGTGCGGTTGATACTGACTTGATTGTCCCCGTCCTCCTCAGGTTGGAAACTATGGAGCTCTCTTCGCCCAGGCCCTCCCGAGGGACGCCCACTCCACCCCCTTCTACTGCACCCGGCCCCAGAGCCTGGCCCTGGGCTACGGGGAGAGGAGCGCCGGCCTGTCAGCCAGCGTGGGGACCAGCGGCATCTCCAGTCTGGGAGTCTACACTCTGAACGGGCCTACGGCTACGCCGCAGTCTCTGCTGGCCAGGTGAGCGTCGACACACTAAACACACCCTGTTGAAGACACAAGCCAACATTCGGCCAATGACAGAATTGGCCCGTCGTACTTTCTAGTTATTAAGTTATCCGACACGTTAATAGAGAAGAGAACCCGCTTCACACTTGTCAGCTGTGTTTAAGCAGATCCTCTCTCCGGGGAGGAGAGACTTATTTATCCGACGCTCGTCCTGTAAAACCACTCGGCGAGAGGAAGCGTCAATTAGCACCAGGAAATACACTCGCCTCTCAGTCTGACCTCTTAGAAATGTGTTTTATGAGGCATCAGAAGGACATTTCATTCCATTTGTCCTTTTTAATAATGCAGGAGTCCTTCAGTTACAAATGACCATTAAGCTCTCCGGGCTCACCTTTTCAGTCATGAAAGGGTAAATCCTCTCTCCAAACAGGTCTCGTGGGATTGAAATATATTTCACACTCTAGAAAACACAAAGTACCAGTGCTTTAACTACACAAAGATGTGCTTTCGGCTTGTTTTTATTTGCCGTTCTGAGTGCCTCTATTGAGCACAGTGTGTGTGTGTGTGTGTGTGTGTGTGTTTTTCAGTCAACCCCCTCAGTCTGCAGCAGGAGGCGGTCAGCCTCTGGGCGCTCGGCTGGCCTGGGCTCTTCCCGTGAGCTGCTCCCCCTCCTCCACTCTGGCCACGCTCACCTCTCGACCGCCCCTCGGACCTCCAGTCCCCTCCTCCAGAGCGACCCGTCCTCGCCGAGACGGTGAGCGGACATGTGCGAACCCAGAATGAACAGAACATGAATGCATTGTGGGTTGTCTGAACTGCAGTTCCGGCCCCCAAAAAATAAGTCTCAACACGCTAAAAACAGCAGAGTTGATTGCACTTTTTTCACAGCCTTAACTTCCACTGTGACCCAAATGTTTTCCTTTCAAACTGAGAGCATGTCCTGTGTTCCTAATACATCGTAACTTCTCCGTCCTCTCGTCCTCTGACCGTGCAGGGGAGGTGAGCGAGGCGGCGCTGGTGCGGGACATCCTCTACGTCTTCCAGGGAATCGATGGCAAGTTCATCAAGATGAGCGCCCAGGAGAACTGCTACAAAATAGACAGCAAGGTACGTGGACCTGCGTCCATCCCTGTAAAGCTTTAATAGACTACTCAGTGGACAATCAGCAGTGCAGCTCAGGTCATCATCTCAGAACAACTGCACAGATCACATGGTGGCCGTTTGTTTTACAATAAAACAAGATGCTCGTTATCTTCTATTTGTTTCCATGTTGGACAGTTTTCCCTCCAAGGCAGAGTTGAAGTAATTTGCCACCACGTGTGCAGAGTACAGTCAAAAATATGACATCAAGACTGCTGTTTGGACATCAAAAGAATTATTCAACAGATCAATATGAGGCTCTTTGGCTCGGCGCCACATCGACCTCTCTTTTCTTTCATCCTCCTCTCCTGTGTTGTCGATGGGAAGGCCTTCGATGTAACCCGTCCCGTGTCCACTCAGTGGTGCTAAAGATAGACTCGTGGTCAATCTGCTGTCACCGTCCTGATGGACACGGAGCCACTGAGACCACGGTGGAGATATATTTCGGACTCCTCTATGGCCACTTAACTTTCCCTTTCGCAAAAAGCTCTCCGGATAAGAGGTTTTGTTAAAACATGAAAATTTAATGCGTCATTAAACGTGAATCTTACTCAGCCGGAAAAACAAATCCGCTACTGCAAAATCACACAAGTGATTGTGGGTACATTATGTTATAAATCTGTCAGAGCTTTCGCAATGAAAGTTGTGACGGGCGATGCTGGCTTTAAGTGTAGTTACATTATTGTCTGCCTCTCTAGTCAATGCCATTCCAGTATGTAATACTGCAAGCATGGACGCAAAATACTGTCAAAATATACACATTCTAATGTAGGTTTATTGTACTCAAAATATGTATTACGCAGCTGTATTGTTGTGTAAGGAATAAAGTTCATTATAATAGAAATAGATGTCAGATTTGTCTTAGTATAGATAGTTCTTCCTGTTTATCACGAGATAAAGATGTGTTGTAATGTGAGCTGTGGCCCACCAGGTGGTGCTGTGCAAGTCCCTGAGAGACACCAGCAGCAGACTGGCCGAGCTCGGCTGGCTCCACAACAAAGTCAGGAAGTACACCGACGTCCGGAGCCTGGACCGGGCCTTCGGACTGGTCGGACAGGTGTGTCTGCGTTTACCTTTTTTAAACACGCTCTTTCTCCATCCAATCCTCCGCTGACGCGCATCTCTCCGTCTCCGTGTCCTCCCCTCTCTTCTTCTTCTTCTCCCCTCAAGAGCTTCTGTGCCGCGCTCCACCAGGAGCTGAAGGAGTACTACAGGCTGCTGTCTGTCCTCCACTCCCAGGTACTCAGGTCCAACTGCCCCTGACAGATTAGGAGATATGCACTATAATAGAAGCGCTGGTGGATAATGAAACTGCTATACTTGTGTGTGTGTGTGTGTGTGTGTGTGTGTGTGTGATTTAGTTGCAGGTGGAGGATGAGCAGGGTGTGGTCGTGTGCACAGAGAGCAGTCTGACTCTCAGAAGGCTGCTGGTCTGGATGTACGACCCCAAAGTCCGACTCAAAACGCTGGCCGCCCTCGTCGACTTCTGCCAAGGTGGGTTCCCCGTGTGTGTGTGTGTGTGTGTGTGTGTGCTGTATTCACACACTAGTATTCCAGTGCGTTTCATTCAGATCGTCTGTGTGCGTTCAGGTCGGAAAGGGGGCGAGCTGGCCTCCGCCGTCCACTCTTACGGGAAAACTGGGGACCCGCAGATGAGAGCGCTGGTTCAGCACATCCTCAGCCTGGTGTCGCACCCCATCCTCAACTTCCTCTACAGGTGGATCTACGACGGAGAGCTAGAAGACACCTACCACGAGGTACACGCTTGATCTTTTCAGCCCCTAAAAAAAACAAAAAAAAGGTGGCCCAAGCTAAATGAGAGAGGGAGAGAGATGCATCCAGCAGGTCATTGTTCCGTTCAACTGCTCTGACGTTTGACCCCAGAGAGAAAGAACATTACGGAGAGGGTGAGGCATAAATAATGAGGGGGGGGGCAGCTTCTTCAATGAGGACTGATGAGAGGAGTGTAATGGAGAGCCAGGTGATGGATGCTTCTCCTTTCCTTCCCCCTGCCCCTCTTTCTCCTTCTGTTTCTCCCACACACACACAGTATTTATGTGTCCCGCACTAACCATTAGTCATCACTAGACTCTGGTCTTAAGTGCTGAGGAGAGAGAGACAAAGTTATTAGACCTTTCAGAAGGGTGATTACCCTGTAGATCACACGGTCTGTTAAAACACGTGCCATAAACAACACCTGTAAATATGAGAGGTTCCTATAGAGCGTGTGATCAAATCTAAAGTAATATGTGATTCTTTGTTTTTCTTTGTAGTTCTTTGTAGCATCAGATCCCAACGTGAAGACAGATCGCCTTTGGCACGACAAGTACTCCCTCAGGAAGTCAATGATCCCCTCGTTCATCACCATGGACCAGGCCCGCAAGGTACACACACACACACGTCTCTGTTAGCATAGTTGGGCTTATTGCGACACATCCAGGTAAGGATTGTTTACCTGGAGTCCCATTATCTCTGTCTGTCCCCTCTAGGTTCTGCTCATCGGTAAATCCATCAACTTCCTGCATCAGGTTTGTCACGACAGAACACCGCCGAGCAAAATCACGCCAGCATCCACGTCTGCAGACACGTCCAAAGACGGTGAGAGTCTCGCCTTCTCCCACGTGTTCCCAGCGAAACCCTGTCTCAGCACGTTTTACATGGTTTCTGAGTATAATTAGGACTGAAATAGTTAGCGTTTGTTCAAAGCAACGTGCCGAATATGTGAAAGTTGATGGTATTTCTGGCTTCATTGGAACTCTATGTTTGATTTCTTAACCGCTGACCTTTAGTTTCGTCCTCGTATCGATGTAGTTCTGTTGAAGGAGGCTGGTGGGCCGTGATCGATGCTCTCACCGCTGGCCTCGTGCTCCTCTTCTGACTATGGAGAGGAAAGAGGCACACTTAGCCGTACTTTATTGATTCAGTCTGTAGGACTTCATCTGACCAGTTTGATCTGCAGCTTTTACTGTATCTGCTGGAGGACATCCCGAAACAAAATCTAAAGGTAAAAATAAAGTAGCCATTAAAGTTGGAACTTACGGGTCCTTGTCGCCTCACAGCTGCAGAGCTGCTGTCAGACCTGGAGGGGGCGTTTCAGCAGAAGATCGACGCCGCCTACTTCGACACCAGCAAATACCTGCTGGACGTTCTCAACCGCAACTACCTGCTGCTGGAGCATCTGCAGGCCATGAGGAGATACCTGCTGCTGGGCCAGGGGGACTTCATCAGACACCTCATGGACCTGCTAAAGTCAGCAACACGCACGTTGGATATATCCTGAGCCGCTACTTTGTACGTCTAGATCTTATCATCTCATGGTCCCCTAATTTATTTGTTTTGTCCCAGACCAGAGTTGGTGCGTCCCGCCACCACTTTGTATCAACACAACCTGACTGGCATCTTGGAGACGGCAGTCAGAGCCACAAACGCCCAGTACGACAACGCAGAGATCCTCAAGAGGCTGGACGTACGCCTGCTAGAGGTAGTGTGTGTGTGTGTGTGTGTGTGTGTGTGTGTGTGTGTGTGTGTGTGTGTGTGTGTGTGTGTGTGTGTCTTCATTGTGTCCTTATTTTTTTTTTTTTTACATCTGACCTTTTGTTGGCTCCAGGTGTCTCCTGGTGATACAGGCTGGGATGTTTTCAGTCTGGACTACCACGTTGATGGACCCATTGCTACGGTAATACACACACACATCCCAACATATTGTCCATGTATTGCCGCTGCTATCG